CCTAATAGATATGACACTCCTGTGGGTGTAGCAAGCTGTTTTATAAAGCAAATGGTTGCTTGGGCCAGGTGAAGCTAAATAGTTTCCATCCTAGGTTCTTAAATCAGCCGTGACTACCTTAATGAATAGAGCACTGGTCAGAGCTTTAGAGAATGCAGCTTTTATTTGTGACCCTATTATTGACTTTATAGCCTCAGGCAGGTTAATTTCTGGGCCTTGGTGTCCTCACCTATAAAACATGGGTGACGCCTGCTGCTTTTCTATTTCTTCAGAGCATAGTAGGATTAATGAGCCAAAGCAGAAGGCCTGTCTTGTGGTTTGTATGCCATGATTCTTCACTGCACTGTGAAGGCTTATTAATATACAAGGTGTGGCCATAAGACAGTGAGCGGTCTGCCTTCACATATGCCTTCCCAGATACATCTGTGTTGTTTTAGGTAAGATTACCTAGTGAAGTGGCAGGTTTTATAGCCCAGAAGTGTCCAGTAGACCTTTCTGCAGTGATGGGAATGTTCTTTATCAGTGCTGTACATTAAAGTGGCCATTGGCCATTAGTGGCTATTGAACACATGAAATGTGGCTGCTGCTACTGAGGTGCTACATTTTAAAATGTATTTTAATAAATTTAAATATCCACACGTGGCAAGCGCTACTGCATTGGACAGCTGGTTGATACAGTTAAGATAGTGGAGAGGGAAGTTTATTTGGCAAAAGGGATAGGGAGGATGTTGCATGAAGGGCATTAAAGCAACTCTAGGGCAAATACAGGTGTAGATTGAATCTAGAGTATAGCAGCGCAGTACCAAACCAAAAAAAGCAAACTCACTGCTGTCGAGTCGGATCCGACTTATAGTGATCCCTCCTTGGGTTTCTGAGGCAGTATCACTGTGCAAGTAGATAGCCCCATCTTCCTTCCAAAGAACAGCTGGTGGTTTTGAACCGACAGCCTTCTGGTTAGCAGTCCAGTGCCTTAGGCGCTACGCTACCAGAGCAGTGCAGTAGCCCTTTGTAAACCTTGTTATACCTCCTCCTCCAGATAGTTGGTTATCATATTAAGAATGGTCTGTGTTTTTTCCTTTTTTGTTTGATTTTATTTTAGTTATTCAGTTGTTTGGCTTCACTAGTTTTCTAACTGATATCCTTCTTTTTAGATTAATCTGTTTCCCCAGAGAGATTTTAAAAAACTCAATTCTGACTCTATTACTTACTTGCTTAAAACCCTTTAATGGTTTCCTCTTAATGTTTTTAAGATGAAAGTCAAACTCCAGATGTGATCTATAAGACCCTGGATGGTCTGATATGGTTACCGCTGCCGCCTCGTCTTTTTGCAGTTCTACTGCCCCTTTTTACTTAAGCGTTCTTTGTACTAGCCATTTTGAATATTAATTTTCTGAAGATGTTCCTATCTATTTTGCCTTGTAGCTTTTAAACATTCTTTCCTTCTCTCAGGAATATTCTTTTTTTTTTTTTTTAGGAATATTCTTTTGTGGTGGTTAACTTCACATTCTTTGGGTTTCGTCATAGAAATGTTTTACTTTTGGCTTCCTTTCCTAACTCCACAAGTCTGGGTGTATGGTGCTTCCCCTGGTCGTAGAATTTAGGTGGCAGTGTATTTACTTCTTTATCGTTACCTTCTCATTAGGTTGTAAGCTGTATAGATGAGGGGCCATGTCTGCTTCCCCAAGCCTTGATTTGAACAAAGTGTTTTCTTCTTTTGATAAACTATCAGTCAAGGTGAAGATAGGAATATCCTCCCTGTCCCCACCTGCACTTTAATCTGCAGAGAATGCCTAAAACCATGTTTCTACAGGTTGCACCTTTTCTTGGGTGGTTGAACTCTGGTTCCTGGTAGCTGTTAGAGTAAATGATGTATGCTCCCTGGGTAGAATTCTTAGTCTCTTGCCCAGATGGTTATCCATAATTCATTACCTTTTGTGGGATCTTGGTTGTGCAAGTAAATCCTACAGTAAACCCTGTAGCCTTAATGCTTTTAAGGTCTCTCTTTCCCTTTGTCACTGTTGTCTTTCTAGATTTAAGTACTGGAAAATGAGATCAGATGCAATTTATTCCTGTGCTTTCCTGCAGTTCTTAAGGGAATATGCCAAGGAGAGCTCAGGCAAGAAGGCCATATTATCCCACTGTCTTTCTTTTGTTTTCTGAAACTCTTGCTCATTTTAAGCCACGTTGTTGTTGTGCCATTGAGTCGGACCCGACTCATAGTGCCCCCCTTGGGTTTCTGAGGCAGTATCTCTACGGAAGTAGATTTCCCAACCTTCCTTCCGAGGAGTGCCTGGTGGGTTTGAACTGCCAGCCTTCTGGTTAGCAGTCAAATGCCTTAAGCACTATGCCACCAAAGCTCCTATTTTTCTAATTCTGGAGTCTTTGAGTTAGTAAACCTGTTCCCTTTCTCTCTCTCTCCTTATTATATCTCTTTCACTCTTGATGGAACTCTTCTCTCAGTGACCAGGACTAGACTCTTCTGATCTCTATGAGAAGGATGAGAGCCAGCAAGAACAAAAGTCATTCTCTATCCCACCATCTTCAGTGCTTGGTACGTTGACTACTTGAAGTAGTAGTTAAGATGGGTCGTTTTACTTATTCAAAATTTCTGAATGACATCCTTCAGTTCTGAAGCACACATTTTTGCAATCTTCTGTATCATTTTTTTGAGGTTGAAGTCTTCTTTTATATAAGTGCCTTCCTCTCCTGAGTCTTTGATGAAGTCCTGTTAGATTTTGCCCTACTCCCTCCATTGCTTATTCCACTTGTTCTCTGGTTGCTTATGTTCTAGTAGGAGCAGACAGACAGTTAGGTGAGTGATAATAAAACAGTATAATGTACACTTTCATAAATGTTGTAAATCTGGAGTAAACTTTGATTAAGACTGGAGAAAGTCATAAAAAACTTTTAGAAGAAGAAGCACACCTAATAAGTTTTGAAGAAGAAGAAAAAGAATAGGGTTGGACTTTTCAGAAAGGAGGGAGATGACAGTACAAGATACACTAAGGCCAGACTGCATGTTCTTTCAGTTTTAGGAATGTCTATGAATGATACCAGGCTGGAACAAAAGTGGCGAGTGTGAGGAAAGAATAGACCAGAGAAGACAGACAGGACCCATAAAAGGCCTCGTGTGCCAAAGAGGTCACATTTTAAATTAAAAGCTCTTTTTCAGACTGGCAGATAGCTGAGTTACAGGGTATGTTCAGTAATCTAGGAGGAATGATGAGCATCTGAATTAAAGTCGTGATAGTAGTGGTGGGGTGGGAGAGTGGGGACTATTGTTTGCTCCTTCAGATGAAGTGTGTGTGTGTGTGTGTGTGTGTGTGTGAAGTTTCACCACTGTCCTGTTAGGATTTTGATTAAAATTGGGTAAATAGGTAGATCTCAGTGGATTAATAAAGTTGGTTTCTTACCTAATAATGTGATTTCTCCATTTATTTAAGCCTTTTGTTATGTAGGTCTTGGTAAAATTTCAGGATTCCCTGGGTGGCACAGGTGGTTTAGCACTGAACTGCTAACTGAAAGATTGGTGTCAAACCCAACCTAAGATGGCTTGCACGTGAGACCTGGTGATCTGCTTCCAAAAGGTCACAGCTTTGAAACCTTGTGGGGTGTGGTTCTATTCTGAACATTTATAGTAGCCATGCCTCAGAATTGAATCAACAGCAGCTTCATAACAGCAATAAAGTTTCATATTTTGTGAATCTGTTTTATATGCATATGTATGTACATGCATGTAACCTCATTTGTTGGGGTTATTCTA